ATGTTTTGAGAATGATGAGGGCAATGAATGTACAAATGTGCTTTACACAATTGATGTATGTATGGATTGTGATAAGAGTTGTATGAGCTCCTAATAAAACGATTTAAAAAAAAAAAGGAGAAGAAAACCAAAGGAGAGGGGGAAGGGTAAGCTGGGGAGGAGGTTGATAAGTAGTTTCACCTGCAGAGTATAAAACTGATGATCTGAAATATAAAACTCCTACCTAACTCTCAAAAAATTTGCTAAAGAAAACTTAGTAAAGGGGTCTCTATAAAACAATCATAAATAAAAATAAGATTTAATACTGTATACCAAATCAAGTACGGTCTATGTTTTCAGTTCTAAGATGTTTGCAGCCCAACCCTGGAGGGTGTTCTTGCAGGATGACAATGTCTGTGCTGTCATCTGGGCATAAGGCCACTACCCCTGGGGAAGTGTGTCTGGGAACCTAAGGGTGTGTTTCAGTGACAGGAAGAGAGAAAACAGAGCCCATCCATCCACCTGGAAGAGGCCAGGCGGCACAGGGAGCTGCGGGATGAACTGTCAACTGCACGGTCAGCAGCTTCAAACCACCAGCCAATCGGAGGGAGAAAGATGACCTTATGCTTACAGCTTTGGAAACCCACAGGGGTCATGTTACTCTGTCCGATAGGCTCGCTATATGTTGGAATGGACTGGATGGGAGTGAGTATCCATCCACCCGTGAGCAATCTGCCATGATTAGGCTACATTTCTCCCTGGGTCTTCTGGGATGAGAGAGATCAAGGTTCAAACCCCAGCTCCACTAGTTATGAGCCATTTCACCTGTGCAGGAGCCCTGGAGGTATAGGTCACAGTTCAAGCCCACCAGCTGCTCCAAGGGTGAAAGATGGGGCTTTCTGCTCCCACAGAGATTTACAGCCCAGAAACCCACAGGGCAGCTCGCCTCTGTGCTACAGGGTCACTCGGAGTCAGAACAGACTCGATGGGAGAGAGTTTGGTTTGGGTTTGGTCACCTTGGACATAGTCCTTAGACTCTCTGTTCTCCGGTTTCCTTGTCAAGGATAAAAATGGAAACGCCACTACTCTCATAGTAAATCACCAAGAGATTGCTTTTACTGATGATAATAATAGTGACAAAAAATATTTATCGACCACTTACTATGTCAACATTTGCCAGAAACTTGATTCCAACTCATAGGGCAGAGAAGTGGCCCTGTGGGTTTCCAAGGCTGTTGTCTTTACAGAAACAGGCTGCCTCATCTTTCTCCCACAGAGTGGTTGGTGGCTTCGAACTTCAACCTTCCTGGTTAGTAGCCAAGTGCTTAACTACTGCCCCACCAGCGTGTGCTTCACAACAACCCTATTGGGCATAATTGGCTCCCATTTTACAGGTGAGGCACAGGCTCCGAGGGACGATGTCATCTGTCCAGGGCCACAGATCCTTAACCAGCATGCTGACAGAGTGACAGCAGGTCTCAGGGCCAGGACTGAAGATGCCCCATGAGCGTGAGCAGTAAGCACACCTCTGTCTGTCGTCAACTACAAGCTCCTGTCCGGGTCACTGACATGTCACCCAAGACAGTACTATTTCAAGCACACAAACGTCGCAGGGCGTACTGTTTCCACGTGCCCAGACTTACTGCGCTCTGACCATTTTTGAAAATGAGAT